TGAGATATTTATTTATTTATTTCAAATGGCAGGCGTTTTGATAGATATCATTAGCCATTTAGCTGACTTCGGGCTTCACAGAAGGAAGGTTCATCAAAGTAGCAGAAAGTCGAGGGGTGGGGATCAGAAGAGCGATTCACAGATGTAAAAGAGGCAGACAGACACAAAGGTAGAGAAAAAGATAAGATGAGTACTGTGAAAGGGGTCGAATATGACAAGCTGTCGGGCCATGGTAGTTTGAAGTGAGAAGTCAACTGCCGGTTAATAGACTTTTTTGCCGTATGAGTATACGTTGCCCAGGGTGCACCACGCTCTCTTTGAGATAAGAAAATACTTTTTTTGCATTTAAGCAGGAGTATGTAGATCAATAACTTTTTCAGCATGTTCCTAATTGAAAAATCAATAATTCCCTTTACGATCTAAGGGCTCGACACTGGAAGCGAGATAAGCACATAGATCGATAAAAGACACTTCCGTGCATTCATTTCACGGAAGCCGGTGATACAAAGCTATATCTTTTCATGTAGATTCTAAATCTAAATGATCTGCTTCCTTTTTTAGTCTATTGCAAATGGTCCCTAAATGTGTCATGAGTAGTACTCGGTTGCAGTAGTAAATTCACACCTTTGATATCTAGCTCTCTGGAAAAGACTAAATTTCATTCAACCGCGTCAATTCTTTAAGTTCTATTAAATATACAGTCGCTAAAATATCCGCACACATTTGGTGTTGGTATTTTGGCTTCTCTCCTTTTAATCAAATAAGGATTGCTTTCTTAAAACTAACAAAACTATCACAGCTTCCAACTCTGGTAATCAATTTTAATTAACTTAACATAATTATGTTGGCAGTACTTTACGCAAATCCACTGAAACGACTATGAAGAAGACTGAAGTCATTTTCTTCCAACCCACTTTCCTGTCTGATAGAGGCTAATTTAATTGATTATCAGCCTACCAAAAAAGATTGCAGTTTTTGTTGGACTAGTTATCAAGGCTCTAGGAGCAGCGTGCACTGTTGACAATGAGAAGTGAGTTTGGGGTAAGGGGGGGACAATAGTCGATATTTAAGAGCGTAAGGTATGACTGTTGCAAACTTTGTGCAGGTACTCATAAACTATGCATTTCAGGTTCTTAAAGGAATTCGATCTAAATGCTAAACAAATGAGCGTGATTCTCAAAGATTTCATGCTCCTACCCCTTAAAATTGTGTTAGTGTTTGAATTTATTATAAATGAAAAAAATATGTTGACATTACCTCTATGCCTACATGTAATGAATTTGGGTGATCATTTCAATTAAAAGATCAATGCGTTACATAATTTTTTTCACTTTTTCAGATCGAGATGAAGCACGATCGTTGATCGCCCAGGCAGCAGTGGATTTGGCAGTACACACTTATGATCCTTCAGAAGTGTAGAGGCGGCTTCAATTATTATAGATCCATTCTCTCTTTCCAATTAATCCTAGAAATTTTTACAAGATGTACGCATAGTAGCTAGCTGTGATTTAGGCAAATTTTTACCTTAAGATTATGTCAACTGATTTAATAACCTTGAATTTTATTCCCTTCTAATAACTTCAAAATGTACGCCTTAATATATGCATTATTTATCATGTTTCTCGATGTTTCAGCCCTTTTGAACTGAAATCGCACAATTGAGTATTCAATCAAACCGGAATGTAAGCTATTTCGCAAGCTAACGTAATTGAAAGAAAATAGCTGATACATTAATCTTAGTAGGGTTAAAAGAGAGTTAATTGTACCGCTCTGTTTTGCCAATGCTAGGGAGGTCTGGGGGTCACAAGTTCGATGCGTAGGCAGCGTGATCAAAAAGTTTTCGTATGAGACATCCTGTAGATAAGGTAAGTATATGCGAGAGAGGGCCGAGAGAGTTTAAAAGATGCGAAAGATATAAATTAGTACCTAAGAAGAAAATAATACGAATGGTCTCTCTGTCCGTTTGTCTTCGTGGACCTGGTCAAACATGTAGCAGATTGCTACACGAACAAGCCTTGACTTATCGTCAGTAATCTCTGTGGCAAGACACCTTCAACAATGTAGAGGGGATTGAGGTGCTGTGCGGAACACGGGCCGTCTGTCTGTCACAGAGCTTAGAAATTAAAATAAAATGAAGGGTTTAGCAAAGGTATCTATGCTCACTACCGTACTTGCTCTCTATGCGACAAGTAGCACAGTGCACCGTGGAGCCTGAGTGCGCGTGAGATTTATTCGCCCAGCTACGATAGAGTTTTGCACTCCATAAACTGACGGTGTGTATTGAAGTAATTCCACTTCTGTTTTCCCTCCTCTTCATCTCTATCGTCTCCTTAGCCGAGCCCTCACCTCAATCGAAGCAACAGAAACTATTGCCTTTAATAATATAATGTACAGATCTTAGATATTACCGGAATCAAACAAAAAATGGAGGGATTATAATGTAAGTTATTAGAAGGAATAAGATGGCGATCACATTAGTGGCGAGCATTATGAGGATGCTCTCGTAAGGGCAGGGTACAAAACATTCATTTCTTAGACGCTTAGGCATCTATGCCAAGATTTTATTCTCAGCCTGTCAGTCCTAATCTCCAGATCTCAATAGACACCTGCTGTTAAAAGAAGGTGTGAACATTCATCAATATTAATAAATTTTAGAAATAAACAATGAACATGAACACATTCAAGAACAGAGGAAAATTCCAGAAATTTGGAACACAAAGCCAAATAGGTTGTAAATAGTGGATAGAAGTTCGAAATTTGGGAAATTATAAATAGCTGAAAACCGGCTTTGGTGCGTTTCGGATTGGGAATATGAGCAATCATGAGTAATAAGTGGATGACAAAGTTAAAACACTAAAATGATAAATTGGAAACAGCCTTCTGAACACCGTTTAATAGCGCACATTCTGCTTAAAATCACAGTTATTCCAAGTATGCTTCAAGCGATCAATAGAGTGAATATAAATTTGATGACCATACACCTATATTCAGGAAGCGAAAGTCTTTCATTTCATAGTACATGCAAAAACTTTCTGGTTGCTGAATTGTAAACGGTTTCTGGATAGGTAGCAAAATATTGCACATCGAATTAAGCACAAAGTACATTAAGTCACAGAAATTCATTTAGATCGAAAATTCTCACGATTGCGATACTGTTGCATCTCTGGTAGTTGGTTGTGACTAAAATTGTCATCTATCCTCTGGCATTTTAACCTTCTAAGAAATACGGGCTTAAGTCAAGTAAATATTAATTTCCATTTATCAAATATTTTTCTAGAAACTGCACTTCTGACCCATCTCTCCGTTCCTTCGGGTTCATTTCAAATTTAGTTTAGTAACGGATGATACGGGTCTTTCCATTTTTGCAGCAGTTAAATGAGCTTTACTTCACAAAAAAGTCAAGCGTAACAGCATAGGTTGAGATTCAACTGAAAGAGCAAACTGATGAGCTGAGGTAATACAAACCACATGGGACCATCACGTTTATTTATAAACGCGGCATCAAATAGTGAAAAAATGAAAGTTATTTTTAAAACCACTTGAACAGCAAAGAGGAAGCGCTAGCCTGCGAGAACATGGCTAATGATTGCCATGATCATCTAGATTCCTGGTCGAGGATCGTCTATGCCCTCCATGCAAAGCACAACTATAAAGGTATGGAAACGGTTAGTGTCCGAGTTTTGAATGAATCTCAGACTAGACCAGGGTGTTATGTGTACGAAGTAGTCAAAGAGACAGTCCAACATAAAACCCTCTGCCGACCTATGAAATTCTCCCACCAGTACCTAAGGATAACGTATGAAGATCCCCAGGATGAAACCTGTGAACCGAAAATCACAATTGAAGATATGACACCAGTACGGTGATTCATAAGAAGATGGAGTGATCCATTTTCTGCCCTCTTTTAGTTAATTTATTTTAAATAATACAGATGTTCTTTTTAAAACATGTCCTGAGTTATATATCAAAGTCAAATTAGTGGGCTTTAACCAGGGACGGGCCATAATTGAACGCTATGGAATACGGATTCCTATGGTTTAAATCCTTATGCACAAGTTCAAAAATTCATATCACTAGTAATCAAATAAATTACTTTCAAAAAAGACAAAGCAATACAACACTTCGTTTAGTTTTGTAAACCGTATTTATTTTTAAAATTCTTTTCCTACCTTAAATAGCCCCTTTAATAAATCTTTGACATTAAACTCACTGCGTGCACGTTGAGCGAAATTGAAGCATCATCTAAAGTGCAGCTAAAGGGGCAACAAAACACACTAAATTTAGGTAATCTATTACATTAAGGAAAATTGGCAAATCAAAACAAACTGAAGATTCAATTAATTTTAATAAAAAACCATTGTGTAATTTTGGTGTCATATTTAAAGGGGACTAAGGAGAAATTAAAAATTTAACTATTGGCTTCGTCTATCTAAATTTATCCTTTTAATAAACAAAGTACTTAAATCGATAAAAATGTTTAAATAAATTATCATTCACGTTTTGAAAGAAATATTAACGACAGTATATATAATTACTCATTGTCGCTGCACCAATAATTTTAGTCATTTTTTAATTGTCCTTGAGATTTAGTGTTCGTTTAGTTTTACACTTTTTCAGCCTTGCGGCTATGCTAAATATCGATGCTGGTATTGAGCTATTATTTTAGGTTTTAAATGAATATACATCACATCTAGCTACATATTACAGAAAATTGCTGAATTGAAAATGTTTTTATTTGTGCAATTTTTACTGAATTTTTCTAATTTATTATTTGATTGTATTTAAGTCAAGTCCAATCCCATGTTTTATGTTTTCTAAAAATACTGTCTGTTTGGATATTTGCAGATAAAAGCGAATCATCGCAACGTCCTTCCGGTTTGCCTGCCCAGTCAAGAGAATGGACAACTATACGTGGATCCATGTCATCACATATATAAGTGGCTACTTCGTATGGAATTCAAAGAAAGGATCCCTAGTTATGGAAAAACCCTTGTTACCATTCAATTCGTTCCTCAATCACACCTATATATAGCCAAGTGTCAAATGTGTGAACTCTTACCTTTGAATAGAGCTGAAGTGATTTGGATCATGGTTTCAATAAAATCGTTCCTGTTGGTTACTGATTTACCTTCAAAATTCATAGAAATTCCCAATATCTTCATTCTTCCTCCTCCCCTTGGTGTATATGAAATCGATCGTTCTGGCTACCGCCTAATTGCCAACCGCCTTTACAAGCACATCTTACAGCAGGAGGCTATGTCTTGGTTCAGTACTTTAGGCGGAGGTTTCTCGTGCTTAGGTGATCGATTTGAGGACGCTGTAGGTTGAAGCTTTCTCTCTTGCTGATTTTGATGTAGGCTGAAATTGCTGGTCAGATATCACTCCGACAGATGTATTTAGCACTTACTATGAAAATCCCAGTCTTTCAAGCCCGTTGTAAATTATTTTACGCCCAGAGTTTGATGCAACGCGGTCGTCTCAATATCGCCGCCAGGATGATCAGGTATATTTCGTTTCAAAAACATATCTGCTACTGTATAGAATAAAGTAGCGAATTTATTACTTTTAGAGATGTGTACGCATTTTCCAAAACTGCTTCAGCATTTGATAATCCACCAGAAGTACGCTTAAATCTGATGTGCCAAGGACTGTGGAAACGCTTGTCTTATTTGTGGACGCTGCGAAAGGAATCTAGATTGGAATCCCTTAGACAGGGAGAAATTTCGCAAACGCTCAGTAAAACTACCGGTTGTGGTCGAAGGCTGTATAAAGACATTAATGCTATTCTCAGGATCCTATGAGTGCTGTTTTTGCCTATGGAAAAAAGAGATTTTATCTTATAGTAGAGTATTTTTCATGATTCCGTTTTTTATATTCCTCAAACAATTCTAATTTCAATGGATGTAGTTAAGATCAAAACTGCCTTGGTCTTAGCGTTATTGTACAAAACGCAATAAAGTTCTTTGTGAGGAAACTTTGCATCATTCAGCTCCCGTTAGCCGCACATGAAGAGATGACTGGATTGTTTGGTTTCAACGATTTAAATCAAATAAGCTGAAAAGGTCCAGTCATTTAATTTGGGGAGTAAATACAAATAAAATAAAAATATGATAAATATGAAATCTCTTACTGCTTGGATATTCATTTGCAGAGAAACTATGGTAGTGTGGAGTACACAACTCTTACCCGATTAAACTGAGCAATTTCAAGTGCATTCTGGAGGTTGTGGTATTGTGAGCAGTGCACTTCCCAGCTAGCATGCTAAAAAGGCTCATTCAGGTTTAGTTAAATGCATTCAAATACTAATCGTGCTTGCAGTGATCATGATTTCAATGAGTGCTGTACATCTGCTTCTTCTACGCCATGGAGATAGCCTAACTCATTGGGGATTCTATTCATGCTAGGATATTTTTTATGGGAATCCGCTACAGTAGACAATTGAAATTTCAAGATTACGTCGTTTCTATGGCAATTTGATGGCACGTATTTTGTGAACTCTTGGGATAGTTCGACCTTCAAAATACCGGCTTATCAGAAAATTATTGCTGTTAGTACTTGCATGGGTGACCGGCTGGGAATACCCGGTGTTGCTGACTTCTTTGGGGTGTGCGATAGACTTACCTCCACGAGGTGCACCCTGGGCAACGTATGCACATATGGCGAAAAAATCTATAAACCGGCAGTTAACTTCTGACTTCAAACTACCATGACTCCATTGTATGTCATATTCGGTCACTTCCACAGTACTCATCTTGCCCCACCTTTTTCTCTTCATCTGTGAATCACTCTTCTCTTCCCCCTTTCCTCGACTTTCTGTTACTTTGATGTTCTTTCCTCTGCGAAGCCTGACGTCAGCTAAAGGAATAATGCTAACTATCAAAACGCATGCCATTTGAAGTA